GAGGCGAGAGGAGAGGGGGAAGCCTGCGCGGGAGCAGCTTGCCCTCCTTCGAAAAAAACAGTTACATGGGTGGCTAAAGCCCGAAAGTTGAGGAGGGTTAAACTTCGGTTTTTTTCTTCGTTGGCAGTGCAAAGGAAATCAAGGCGTTCCTCCTGACTGCCTTTCTAAATGGCAAATCTGCCAGTCAAATCCTTTCCTTGTCTCCCCCCCCCCTGTGTTTTGGAGGTGGGGAGAAGCAGAAACAGTTTTTAAGCAGCTGAAAGCAAATGCGCTTTGCTATGCAGTTGCTGGCAAGGAAGAAGGGATGACAGGAAGGGTCAGCGTTGCATGCAGTGTGTGCAGAGTTCTGGCTGGCGCGCTCGCAGTGAGTGCATGCTGCTTTGCACTAAGCAGGGCCCTGAGCCTGGATACCATATTCCCCCAAATTGCCATGTTCCCCAGCACAGGTCCTCTTCATTCTGCCAGCTCTCTCAGGCTGAGGTACTGGCAAAATGGGTCAGGTGAAATGAGGGCATACTCTTTGAGGTGGTTTCATAATAATTAAATTTTCATTTACATGAAGCCTTTCAACTAAGGCTCCTTTTCTAATTTGATTCTTTTGTGTTTCGCAACTGAAGGGGCTGGAGGATAACTAAGATGTGCACAGTGTGACAGCGAAGAACCGATGAACCCAGGTTTCCCCATTTCAGGACCCTGGAATAGCTGCTTTCAGCCTCCCGATGGTTTAGGTGAAAGTTCGTGGCACAGAGTTGCTTCAGATTTCATGCAGTTGCCTGTATTTTTGCAAAGCATCTCTGGTGGGAAGGGAAACGGAAGCAAGGACCAGGCTAAAGGTAGTAAAAGAGCTGCAGGTAAGAAGATGGAAACAGTGCTGCAGCCACCTCTAAGTAGCTAACAGAAGATGATAGCAATATTCTGTTCCCACATTACATTTTCCATAAATCTATCCTTTCTGCAGTGCTACAATTAATCTTGTGTCCGCACTTCTATTACATCTGCCTTTCCAGCCTCTATATTTTTGTTGTAAGACATCTCTGCCTGCACCACTTGCTTTTACAGGACCAAAAGCCAGGTCAGTGGAAGGCACAGTAACATTCATGCCTTTTTGGCCTGCAGACTACACATCAGACTTTTCCCATCCAGGCATGTATATGTCTTCTTCATACTATGGGGAAAAAAACATTGTAAAAGAAATTTCTTGGCATTAAGCATTCATTGCTTGTGAGTAGAGGTTTGGCCACTCAGGTTCCCAGCAGTCAGATCCTGGAGCTGACGCCCATTCTTAGCTCCGTGAACCACTGGAGGCAGGCAGCCTCCAAAGATGCTTTCGGAGCTTGTGCAGACACTGACCTCTCCGAATGACTTACAGGAGCGGGCAGGTAGAGTGTAGCTGGGCCTCAGTGTGAGCAATTGCAGTTGGCTATCAGCTGCCATGGGAAGATAAGAAATGTTTGCCCGTGTGTGGTTTTGATCTTCCCATCCAGCTCTAGGAGGAACAGACAGCAAAACCAGCTTTAAATTACCCTTGTGCTTTTCTGGTACTGGGCAGGGCCTGATCCTCAGCATTGGTCTAATTGTTAATCGTGGCCCAAAGGGCAGTTTTATTAGCCAGAAATTACTAACACGTTGAGACAGTGCTGTCATGCACCTCTCTCGCCAGAAGGGCAGACAGGAAAGCAGCCTTTTGGCTCACCAAAGTCCAAGGAAATTAAAATGACAGTGCAGAAGAAGAAGGCACTTCTTAGAAGAGCTTAATTTCAGACCCCACTGATATCTTCACAGCAATGAGGCAATGAACTTTACAAGATGACAGCCTCCCCTCCTGTCCCCTATGATGCCCCCCTTCTCCCTGCTTCACGCTACAGTGCAAGCACCCTCTTGCTTCTACCTGCCCACCTCTTGCTGCCTGTGCCTCAGTTGCTCCACCGTCCAAACATTTCGTCCCACAGCTGCACCCCACACCCCCTCCTGCACACACCGGCATGCTTGCCTCCCCCCGGCTTCCCCATTGCTTCCAGGTCTGGCACAACTCAGCATTTCCAGATGCAGGCTCCACAGCCACATCTGGCAGGAACGGCAGGACAGGGTAAAGCCGGCACGGCAAAGCAGAGGGTCAGGTTTGAAACATGCAGGAACTGTTGGTTGCGACTGTCCTTTAGAAGGGAGTGGTGTCACTTTTTGTGTGCACCCCCCCGTTTTTCTTTGTTGAATGCCTCCTACGGCGATTTCAGTGCTAGTCAAAGTCCCACTGAAAGGGAGTTGTTTATTGCTGCTGCAGGCTTCCCTCCAGTGGAGACCTGCCACTGCTGACCCTTGCTCTAGTGTGTGCGCTAAATTAACTCCCATCCCCTTCCTTTAGGTCTTCTCTCCCAAGGGAGCAAGTGCTTTGAAGAGTAATCCCGTCAACCTGTCACCCCGAGTCCCGGAAACTCACCGTTACTATGGTTACTGTGCCCAATTCAACTGGTGGCTCTGGCACTCGCATTGTAGCCAGGCAAAAACATCCACACACCCCCACCCGCCTCGCATATACCAAGCTGCAGCATCAGCTCTGCACGCAAGAAGTTGCTGCTCCAAATCTTGTATTTTTCTTTACTGACTTCTGGCTGAATGTGTCGATTGTTGGGTGCCACTGACACAGTTCAAAACTGGTTATCACAGATCAAATGGAAGCGCTTGAGAAGTGGAGCGACAGAAGAGGTTTTTAGACTTAGTGCATGATCTGTTAGCAGTACTGTGACTGTAAAGGTGTTTTCTCAGGAGCTGAACACTGAAATTCACGTCTGCACATCTCTGAGGTCCAGATGCCCAGTTCAGAAGTTAGGTTTGGTTGCACTCTAAGCATGCTGGCCCCAAGTTCTGCTGTGCAGAAGCCGTGCATCTTTGTGCTGGAGCAACCACTGCGGCAGAAGAACATACACTTCACACATTTACACTCACATGCATCTGTAGTGATGTCCAGGTTGTCAAGACATTTCTGTCTTCAAGCTGGCCAAGGACAGGGATAATTTTGACATGAAAGTCCTTACTGTAAGCAGAATGCCTCGGCTGCAACACTTCTGCTGCATAGGTTTCAGCTCTCATTTTTTGGAAGTAGTGTATAGCTATAAATAAGCAAGACTAGCACTGTCAGCATATTAACAGCAGCAGTGCAGACAGATTTCTCTTCTGGATGGCTCTGAACAATGCAGGTAGACTTTGCATTTACCTGATTAGGCTTCAGCCCATCTCCAAAACCAGACCTGGGCTATAACTGTGTACAAGGCTAATCTGTGAAGGCACATTCAAGCCGCTGACAGGCAAAGCTACCTCATACTCAGTCAGCCCTGTCTGAGGTGGGAACAGGCAGATTGGCTATTTTGTCACTTGATTTCCTGTCCAATGAATCCAGCCCCTTTTCTCTTTCTATGCAAGCCTCCCTCTGAGTCAAGGCTCTTGCAGTCAGCAGCTTCTTCCACTAGACATCCCTTCCTCCATTCCCAAAGCACAGTCTGTCCTGTGCACTGAAGGAGGCCAAGATCCTACAGAAGGAATGACACCAGGTCATGTTAATTAATGGCTGTCTCAGATACAAAAAGGGGCTGACTTGGGGTGGCATTGTGTAGAAAATTCTGGTTTACTTTGCAGCCGCCTTTGCTCTTAATTACAGGAAAATAATCTAATGTCCATGTGTGTAAGAGTGTACCTCGTGTGTAAAATCACACAAGAAATTCAGTAACATGTTATTGGCAGGACAGCCTCTATCAGCATTGCCAAATGCTAGAGGGGACAATGGCCACAGATGTGTTTCACCTACAGACAGCAACCCGTCAAGGTGACGATGTCACCATAGCTGGGCAGTTTATTTATCCCCATGTTCATTCCTCAGTATCACACAGCACAGTTTGCACCAGATGTCAC